TTCAGTATTTCTTATATTGATTGATATATTATTTGTTTTACTGAATGATTTAGTTTCACAACGCTCTGTCAACAGATCACGTGCTAACTTACAGTTTCTAAATAAATACGACACATTTTGTTTTACTGACACGCGAGGCACCATTTCTTGATAACGAATCTTATCAGCGTTGCGTGGGAGTTTTTGTAACTAGAGATTGATCAGATATTATCAATAAATCTGTATAGATGTAGTTGTGTTGAAATAATTTCTACTCAAAAAGAAGAGGGATTTCAGTAATTATATGTATTTATTTTAGTACAGTTTGTCTTAAACAGTTTTACATGAATATACACAGTTATACCAATGAGAGTGTAAAGTAACTTATACTTGTGATAATGTCACAATACGTTGTATAAAGTGATTCTTATGAATATTTATATATATATACATATATATATATGATTATTTGTCTTATTATATTAAGAAATGTAACCGTCCATTGCAAATACCGTTCCTTGCGTTGAGTTGACGCAGTTCCTGATTTTCTATAGCTTGTGCTTGATCCAACGAACGTTCCTTGCTTTGAATTGATGTAGTTCATGATTTTTTACAACTTGTGCTGGATCCAACAAACGTTCCTTGCGTTGAGTTGACGCAGTTCATTATTTTCTGTAGCTTGTGCTGGATCCAACGAACGTTCCTTGCTTTGAATTGATGTAGTTCATGATTTTTTACAACTTGTGCTGGATCCAACAAACGTTCCTTGCGTTGAGTTCATACAGTTAACACCCGCTTCTTTATCCGGAAATATTTTGTTACTAACAATAAGCACTTTCATACATAAAACGTTTCAGTGTTTGAAGATCTTAAGAATGCACTATGAAACACAGTTGAGAAAATGAAGCGGGAAAGTCAGTTCCTATATTTAGATGGCAAAGATGAAAATACACGTGTATGCTGCATGTTAACCATGTGCTACATTTGCGTCTGACATGTCTCTCGACAATCTACGCATGCTCTATTGACAGTAAAATACACAGCAAATGGCGTTTTTCTAAGCAGTGCTTTATTATTTTGTAGATAATTCTAGTATTAAAAACATACGCTATGTAAGGTGTACATGGATAGTTCAAGGAATTACAGCATGAAAATAGTTTTCCAGCCAGCTTTTGTGGCACAATTTCTAACAAACTCAAAGTAATATATATATATATAGATCCAGGTTTCCTCTGAAATTAAAGCAAGACTAGAGAGAGAAAAAAGAGAGAGAGAGTAAAATAATATAATATTTAGATTTTTCTTGTATGACCAAGGTGAATAGATGGTGTAAATAAACATTATGTATATATATATGTGTGTGTGTGTGTGTGCTTGTGTGTATGTGTATCAAAGGAATACATTTAAATTCAAACTGGTTCAAAGTTGCTTAGAAAAAAATATATATATCAATGGATCGATTTTACATCTACACTTGTGACAGAAGTTGTTGCGCATGTATGTGAAAATAATACATTTACGACTGGTTTTCTAATCGACAAAACGTACTTATACCAAAATACTTGCAGACTAGTTATTAGCGTTGCTACTTTATTTTGGAACTGGTGGCTGAGAGATAATGCTCTCATTTCAAATTACAGGTTTGTCTTCAAAGTACAGATGTGACAATAACGTAAATGTTACGCTGTTACACCCAACCGTTCTCAAAAATTATAAAATATTTTGTTCGCAGCAATAGCGTACAATGTTATCACATTGTCACATGACCGAATGACGTCTTATTTTTTGGTTAATAGATAACATTTGATGTGAAATGCGGCAAATACAATTCGATTCAATTTCTCAATGCAATTAATCATTTTTAAGTTGTCCAATATAATAGTACAAGAAACGAGTAAAAGGTGATGAGGGTCGTAAAAACTGTTCTTAGCTTTAAAAATAATAATATAGTTAGAATAATTTCAAATTCGACAAAACCTGATGATGACAAAACCTTGTCGAAACGTTGTACACTTGCCGTTATGTTAAACTTATATTAAACTTTTGCTTCATTACCCATTCAAGCCGTCTCCAGCCATTAATAGTTAGAATAAAGTACAGAAAGGTGAAAAATAAATTAAAAGTAAATTGTGGAAGAATAAAACTATCTAATATATATTTTAACAATACAGTGAAAAACAAACAAATAATATTAAAAAACGACATTTGTAATATAGTTTTCAAACTAAGAGTAAAGGCTGTTGAGCATTATGAAAATGATAATTATGATAATTTCATAATAATCAATAACATAGTTAGGATAAAGTCCAGAAAACTACAAAACAAAATTAAAGTAAATTGGGGAAAAATAAAACTGTTTAATATTCGTATTCATAAAATACAGGAAAAATAAATAAAAAAAATGTCAAAAATAGGATTAAATATTGACGGTTAAGATAATTTGTAATTGGGTCTGACCGTCTGTTTTTCTTGTTGCTGTTGTTGTTTTTTAGCTATGGTATGCCAATTAAAATAAATTGAAATGCCTAAAGTGTGCTGGCACGTTTTATAAGTATGATTATCTAATTTTTTTTTCTACTTTGCTAACTAATATAATTTAATTTTGGCTTTGTAGGAAGCTGCTAATGGTAAATAGCCACCTCGGTGGCTCAGCGGTAAGGCTTATAACGCTAAGAATTAGGTTTCGATCCTTGAGGTGGGCAAAAAAACAAATAACCAGTTGTATAGAATTTGTTTAACAACAAACTAGCAGTTTAATATATAAAAATGCAAAGGAAAATATTTTTTACTAAATTATCAGTTGATTTTCACAGGACTACATTAACTATCAGTAGTAAACATATTTGTCCTATTGTTACATTTTAGTCTCTCTCTCTATCTTTTTTTACTGAGATTATTGAATAAGCAATTCCTAGACATTTTGTTTCACTTTTCCTTATCTGAATTGTGAAAATATAATTCAAGCCCTGTCATAAGTATAAGAACACTCCTTGAGCATCTGATATGAACCACCGAACATAGTCTGCAAGGGAACTTATTGACTGCAACTACAAAGTCACACCGGATAGGTAGATTAGTAATATTGAGGTGTGTGCAAGATGACAAAAAGTTTATTAATGGCAAGTATTTGAGAGAGAGAGGGGGAAAATATATGCTGTCGTAAATATAAAAAAATAATACTTAAAATATGCTTGGTCACACACTATATGCAGTGAATAAATCATATATTGTGAAATCTGTGCAGCGTGAATTGGATATTTTCTAGGGGCCACCACATCATTTTGTTTGAAGTGAAGCCCAGTGGTACCAAACTCTTGAAAATACTTCATTATTTTCATGGAGTGATAATAATTGCTTCATCCTCTTTCAAGTGATGAGTAAATATTTGTCTGGAAGCACGTTGGAAACAAATTTGACTATAAAAGTGTTATGTTATTTGTGGGACATTATAGTGTGAGCTGCGTTCTCCACATGTGGCTTGAGGCTTTTCTGTGTATTTACTTTATGTCTAAATGTATATGGGTCCGCTGGTGGGTCAGAGGTAAGTTTACGGACTTACAACGCAAACATCCAGGGTTCGATTTCTGGCGTTGGACAAAGCAGATAGACCAATGTGACTTTGCGTTAAAATAAACAATAACAACAACAAAAAATGAAACTGAATGCATATGGATATTTACAAAGGTCATAAATGGTCTTTTGACCAGCAGAACAATGTGTTAATCCATTGATCAAGCCATGATATCAACGACTTGGAATGAATTATCCAAAAACATGTTTGTGGCACATTTATATGTTAATTTGAAAATACAAACCACAGTTTTACAATTGTGATCAAATGGCCGTGCTTTTCAAAAGTATACTGAAGAAAAACTGCACTCAGACACCCATTTCAAACTAGATGAAAGTATACCTTACAAAACATTTATTTAAACCAAAGGTCACAGTAGTAGTAGACCAGAGCTGTCACACAAATTTATTGATAATCATGCCCCCTTTTTTTTTTGAAAATATTTTGAAAAATCCGTGGATAATATTACAATTTCTATACAAACATTGAAAATTAGATATTTCATACGAAGACCCTTTATAGAAGTAAATTACACAGCAACTCTTTTTTTTTGTTAGTTTTAAAGAGAGTATCATTTAGAAAATGTTTTTCTAGACTCGTATGTGGATCAGCAGGTTATTTGTTTGATATGAAACATACCTTTTTATGTTATCAGATTACACTTTTTAACATGGAATACTTACAGATCATGGCAAGTTGTTTGAAGCATTTAATAAAATTAAAAGTTGAATGAGCAGTTTCATTCGTCTTGATCTGCACATTAAACATTTATGAACTTTCATTGGAACAAAGACAGATTTATTCTAGCTAGAAAAGGTTTCAGGATTTCAAAGGAACAAGTGTGTTAAGAATGGATAATCACATGGTACGCTTTTCTATGTAGCACTAGTAAAACTTCATAAGGTCTCAAATGGAGTATAGGTTGTCAACGGTTTGTTATTAACTTAATTCCATGATAAAAATATATATATAGTGAATTAACTCATGTTACTTAGATCTTTAATAATTCTAATGAAAGAAAGTAAATAACAAACTTTAACTATGATTATATTAATTTATTTCTATCGTTTTGTTCATGGTTAGTGCTGCTTAGAAAGAGCTTGATGATGCGGTGTATTAAGAGCAAAAGGCTATGCATCTTTTTAAACAGTATTTTCGTCATTACTTAGCTGTAAGAAAATAAATTGAGGTCAGTCACCAATTTTTAACTTTCAAGAGCATTATGAGGCTTCTATTTCTCTTAGCTTCTCAGACATTTAATCCTTTAAACTTTATTTGCAGATAGACAGACTTGAATAGCCAGCGGAAATGTAATTGTTTACCTAAGACCATATACAAGTATCCAGAACGAAAATGTTCTCCTGTTACTTTATTTTGATGCGGAAACATACATATAAAGTTGAGTATTCTATTACGTTAAACGGCAGCAATAATTCATACAGCTACCTACCTGTTGCCACATGTCCTCAAGGGACAGCTGAGAAGAGAAGAAGCCAGTATCATGGACTGTCTGTAGTTCTCTGAAAATATTTCCACTCGGTAGAATGTCCATCATGAAAAAAGTATACACTGGTTGATGTTGTTAGTAATTATTATTACTTCTTAATTTGTTCTGAGATGCAGAATAGATTACTAAACACGCATGGATACACAGCTAAATTTCACCCTGGTTAATGCTCGCTCTAGAACAAATTTATATATATATATACATGTGTGTATGTAGATTTGTAAGTTTATATATTTATGTACATATCTATACAGTAAGGTCAAACTGTCTCAACTATCTGTCTCCTCTGCACTGACACTGAAAACATTTAGTATACATGCACATCGCTCAGCTCTTACCCACTACACGGGCCCTGAGTTCTGTGGTTCGCGCCTATGCAAACAGTTGCATCTCCACACGCTCGCTAACTCACTCATAACCTTAGCCTCGCTAGCAGTTCGCAGCACGAAAGCTATTGCTGGGTTTGAGAGTATGGAACTTTGGCATCGCTTTCAGATAACGCGGTGAAACGCACCAACAATAAAGAACAAGTGCTACGCAAACATTCTCATATCGCAAACATTTCTTCACAATAGGCATCTTATACCCTTGTTTTAAGTAACTATTCAAAATAATTGGACGCAAAGAAAAAGAAGACTAGCGCACAAAAAGACGAGTTTTGATTTATTGGTGTAACAATAGTAATATTGATCTAATTCAAAGCTGGCTTCTGGGAATTTATGCGAAACATATACCTCCTATCTAGAAAAAAAAATAACAAGTTCTTATAGTTTTTGTTTTTTATGTAATCGTTCTAAATCAAAGAGAGCATGTTCAAAGTGAATCATTTACAACAACGCTGACTAATAAATTACTCAACCTTTTACGTACGTATATCTTACAGTATAAATCGTATGATGGTCGTAGTACGTATATACTACCACACATCATAAAAGTTTTACTTCATTATATTTTCAACTTCATCACTTATACAACTCATAAATGGCTTGAATTAAACTTTATCGGATAAAACAGACGAAATGAGTGAGACATGGAACAAAAAAGGAAGTTCTGGTATGAGTTCCGAATGACAAACATTTATGAAAATATAAATATAAATGGTGGGTGTTGGAATGTTTTGTAAAATAAAACTTCGAAAGAGAATCTAGAAGTGGTTTGTCCTAAGGAATATTCAGAAATATTTCATAGCAATTACTGCACGTTTCTCTTCTTCAAATAATACGTTATATATATATA